TTATGGTATAGAATTGGTAATTTGGTATACTAAGTGTAATTAAGTCAAACCTTAAACATTGAGGGTAATAAGGTTTCCTATGTGGCATATGAATGTAAAAATTCCTATATACATAGGGTAAGTTGTCTTAGGTTTGCCCCCTAGACTTTAATTGTGGCCATTGCCATTTTTTTGCTAAAATATTGTGTCATGATATCACTTTGTTTTGTAATAGCTCAACTTGGTCATGCTTTTTTACATTCTGCCAACTTTCATGTGTCTGAGTTTAAATATGTTCCCTCAATTTCTTCAAAATTGATATAAGCTTATAAATACTTCTTTAACTTTGAATAATTTTGATAAATTTGTTTTATGGCTAATTCGAAATGTTATCATCTGTCGTTCACATGTTTTGTGTACAAAATAAAATATTATCTAAATACAGTTGTCAACATTTTTTTTAAAAAAAAGGTACTACAACTTCTGCTGATGTAGCAAAAATTGTCCAGCTTTTTCTTTCTTTCCATATTATAATTCAACTTTCCTTATATGAAAATAAAGATTTTTTTTTAAATTTAGCCCAAGAAAATCAACTAAATTTGTGTTTTACAATACATTTATTAATTAAATAAAGAGTAGAGCCAAGCGTCCCTCACTTTTTAGGGCATTCCAGTAATGAAATTAAAAGTGAAATCCCTGTTAAAATTTTAAAGGCAAGAGCCCAAAGAAGATGGCAGCTCAGACGTACACATTATCAAAGATGTATATCGTATTCCTTGATCTTATTACCAATATTAATTTTCGTGAAGTCTAAACTATACAATACATCTTTCTGTAGTGTGTTAAAATTTTGCTTGGTAATATGCCTATTTTAACAGAGTTCCGATGCACCTCTTCTAAAAGAGTCATAATACACCTAGCCTCTTTCTTCTTCATCTATCCATCAAATTTTCTGGGCATCAAAAGTTTAGTACCACTTGAAAGGACACACCAGATACTAGTTTATAGAAATATGAAGGTATAACTCAAATAACGAGTGATGGTATTACTAATTGAGAACCTCATAAAGGTAAATATCATTTGCATATTTCTTCTGAAATTGGAATTTTTTAAACCGTGACAGAAAACTATTCCTGTATTAGGTAGGGGTAAGGTCTGCGTACAAACTATCCTCTCCAGACTCCACCTATTGGGATCAAATTGGATTTGTTGTTGTTGTTGTTGACAGGGAACTATTGCACAGAGAAGAAACCAGCAGCAGTTAATTGATTGAAGAGAGAGGAAAGTCAGTAGTTTGTGAGGCAATCTTAAAGGAAGAGATGGTGAAGAAGGTTTTGAAAACAGAAGTTGCTGCTTTAGTGGAGCTAAACATGCTTAAAAACCTCACTAGTTTCGCCATGGCTGGCGCGCTTGGCGGCTTCAACGCGCACGCTAGCAATATTGTCTCAGCTGTATATATAGCCACTGGTCAGGATCCTGCTCAAACTACTCTGATGGTAAGTAACCCCACTTCCAATCGAGAGGTTGTGAGTTCGAGTCTCCCCAAGAGTAAGGTGGGAAGTTCTTGGAGGGAAGGATGCCGGGGGTCTATTTGGAAACAGTCTCTCTACCCTAGGATAGGGGTAAGGTCTGCGTACACACTACCCTCCCCAGACCCCACTAAGTGGGATTATACTGGGTTGTTGTTGTTGTGGTCAGGATCCTGCTCAAAATTTTGAAAGTTCTCATTGTATTACTATGATGGAAGTTGTAATTGATGGCAAGGACCTCCATGTTTCTGTCACCATGCCTTCTGTTGAGGTATGCAATTAACACTAACACACTTGTTCTTATAATCATTGGGTTCAACGGAATGGCCAACATTTTAAACATAGAGCTTAGATATTTAAAAAGAAAGAGAGCATTTTGTTACACTAAGCTTTCGCTATGCACAGGATCCGCGGAAGATTCAGACCATATTCGGTCTGATATACACAAAGTTACCTTGTGCTTCTATAAAAAGTTATTTTAACGACTTGAACCCGCGATCTTCCGATCACTCGACAACAACTTTTACCATCGAGCCAAGCCTTCCCGTTAGAGTTCATATATATAAAGGGAAGCTCGGTGCACGAAGCATCTTGTGTTCATGCAGGGTTCGGAGAAGGGCCGCTCCGCTCCCCAAAAGGATATGATAATGGCAGCCTACCTTGATGCCAAAAAAAAGGTAGCACGGTGCATTTAGCTCCCGCTATGTGCGGTATGATGATGACAGCATACTCTGATGCAAAACATAATAAAAAAAGACAATCCGGTGTACTAAGCTCCCGCTATGCATGAGATCCGGGGAAGGATCGGATCACAGGGGTCTATTTCGACCCCAAACTTTTGCAAGTGAGGATTCTAAAAAATCATTTAATGAGTTTTACACTTTGTTAAATACTACTACTAGAAAGTGTTTGTTTCTTGTTGTACTTATTATCTATACTATTGTGATACAGGTGGGTACAGTAGGAGGTGGAACACAACTTGCATCTCAATCAGCTTGCTTAAACTTATTAGGAGTGAAAGGTGCAAACAGAGAGGCACCAAGGTCAAATGCAAGGCTTTTGGCCACAACAGTAGCAGGTTCAGTTCTTGCTGATGAGCTATCTCTCATGTCAGCTATCTCAGCTGGGCAGCTAGTTAAGAGCCACATGAAATACAATAGATCAACCAAAGATGTCAGAAAGAAATCTTGGATTAGAGGTGGACCAGGATTCGACGGTCGTAGGGCACCATGACATTCAATATAAATTTATCAATGCCCATAAAGATTGCTATGAGTACCTTTACTAATATCTAACTATTTCTTGAAGACATTTGCAGGTATATATGAAGTTTTTTCCGAAGTTTTCGGCTACCGTTGACCACTCAACTTATAGTGTGTGTCCGCCTCAGCTCCTAATGAAGAAGGCAAGACAACTAATTCTACCCACTTTGTCTCTAAAACTGTTCACATTGTTCCCAACTCTCTGGAAGTATCAGCGGTAGCAGAGGCAGGATTTTCATCAAGGGGTTCAATATCTTCTGTGGATATATGTGAAAAAATTTGACATTATATATACAGTGTAATTTTCTACACCGCATCCGAATATCACTACCATCTTTAAATTAAAGGATTACTATGATGACCAAAAATAGGAACAACATTTTCGTATTAGAGGGAAGGTAGGTAGTGGAAGAAATAAAAAAAAGTCAATGTATGTAACATCAGGAGGGTTGGGAAAACTTTCCAGACAATGTAATCTGTATGCTGTGTTGTATCCATGTGAAGGGGGTAAGGTAAAGTATTCTTTTCTGTCTGAGGGAAGTAATCTGCAAATATTTTGATAAGATATGTGGGAAGAAAGTAGTTGGTATCATTGAATTTCAATGTGCCAAGGTGGATGACATTACCTTTTCTTTTGTATTATCTTTTATTTGTTTGTTAATTTGTCATTAGTTTGTAACTTAGGGTGAAATGACATCTCAAGACTGATATTATTTTGATCTGCTGCAAGTGTTCTAATTTTTCCTTTTGATAACAAATTATATATTTGGATCAATTATTGTATCCACTGACATGTTCATAGTCTCATAACGAGTTTAAGTTTTATACACTGTTGACAAGTTATACATTGACATGAAAGCTGCTTGGTTAACTGATTTGGTAAATAAGATGAACGAGCGATCCTCCAACTGTTTTTGGGAAATGCTTGAGCATTTACCAACAATTAAATCGACATACACTAACCTATTTTTACCAGCAATTTGCTTTATTGCTGGCTGGTCGGCTGGTCCTAGAGTATGAGACAGACTTTTGAGCTACCTCAAGAAGGTGAACCATTTCTTTTTGCTAGAGGAGACACGTTCGCTCTTTCATGCGCTAAATTGTACAGTTTGCAGAAGTTGTCTTTGTTGCCCGGATAATTACTCAATAAAGGATTAAGATATTCCACCAGCTATAATTTTGTTCTGGCTGTTAAGTTTGTGAACTGCTCTGATACCATCAAAAACATTATTTACTGTTTTTGAGATTACGTTACAGCCTCTGACAAAGTCTGCATACACACTATCCTCCTCATACCTCACTTGTGGATTACACTGGGTATATTGTTGCATCTGACAAATAGTGATTTCCCAATCTCTCATGTTTGAACCACAATTTTGATAAATGGCAGCTCCTTTAAAGGGAAGCATGCCGAACTCTCGTCTGATTTGTTTGATTTCCAAGAACACACTATGCTCAAGTGACCACCTTATAGTCTATTTAGTTATTTAAAGTTTCAAGTCATTTTGTGATGATTGTATACTTACTACAACAACAACATACCCAGTATAATCTCACATAGTGGGGTTTAGGGAGGGTAATGTGTACGAAGACCTTACCCCTGCCTCGTGGAGATAAAGAGGCTATTTCCAATAGACCCTCGGCTTAGTAAAGCATAAGTACAACAGTAATAAAAAGAAAACGGCCAGAAACGAAGATTGTATACTTGAAGGTACAAAAATGCATGGTCTCACTCCAACAAGTTAGAAATTGGAACATTTTGACACATTCTTCCAAGAGGCTTTAGGAGAAAATGATTTATGACCAGTTACAATTTGAATAAAATATCCTATTAATATCTCTTTTATATTTTATTTGCTGATTTTGTGTTATTTTTTCCTGATCTTTTGTGAAAAAGAGTCATACAACTAAGATAACGTTTGTAATGGACCACAACCAAATCTTCCATATTTCAGCTCTTTTTGGTCTGCTAAAATATGAACCAAAATCGACACAACTACTATATCAGTGATGATGATAATATTGCTGGGCAGTTGTTTCTTTAAACCTTAATTTGGGGAAAGGATGAGGCAAGAACATAGTTGTATATAAGAAGTGTTCCCTATGTACCCCATTGTTAACTTGTACTTAATTTATGGATAGCACAGAAAATGCAACTGAGAACTAACCAGTTGAACAAAATTCGTATATAATCTCCAGTAATTAACAACAGTTTCACAAGGACATCAGACAATCTGATACTAAAAGAGACTCTTCTTTTAAGAACTTTACTTTCCGGGGACAAAGTTTGTGGCATAGGCCCAGGCATTGTTGTTAACAGGGTCAGCAAGGTGATCAACAAGGTTCTCTAATGGACCTTTTCCAGTGACAATAGCTTGAACGAAGAATCCGAACATGGAGAACATAGCAAGTCTACCGTTTTTAATCTCCTTTACCTTGAGCTCAGCAAAAGCCTCTGGGTCATCAGCAAGACCTAATGGGTCAAAGCTACTACCGGGGTAGAGTGGGTCGGTAACCTCACCAAGAGGTCCACCAGCAACACGGTAACCCTCAATAGCTCCCATCAACACAACTTGGCAAGCCCAAATAGCCAAGATGCTTTGTGCATGGACCAAACTTGGGTTGCCCAAGTAGTCAAGTCCACCCTCGCTGAAAAGAGGCATTTGCATTTATACCCGCTTTTTGGGTCACGTTTTAACTTGTGCTCATTTTGCAAAAATAAAATTGCAAGCGTACCCGCTTTTTCGCATAACTTCAGCATACGGGGCTGAATAACAAATGCAATCACGCAAAACTTCAGCATTCTAGTAGACGAGCCTGAAGTAGCAAGTGTGCTGAATCAAGTGTGCTGAAGTTTTTGTTTGTAATTGCTGAACTTAAGCATAGTAGCTGAAGTTTTGTTCTCTATTTGCTGAAGTTTTTGTTTGAAATTGTTGAACTTAAGCATAGTAGCTAAGGTTTTGTTCTCTATTTGCTGAAGTTTTTGTTTGTAATTGCACTAAATAAGCTGAAGTTTTTTTGTCCTGAATTCATTAGTTTTGTCATAAGCTTTTTTTAAAAACTTCAGCAGAAGATGCTGAAGTTATTTAGTTCATTTATAAAAACTTCAGCACTAAATAAGCTGAAGTTTTTTTTAGTCCTGGATAAGCTTTTTCAAAAACTTTAGCACTAAAAGCTGAACTTTTTTTGTCCTGGATCCATTAGTTTTGTCATAAAGCTTTTTCAAAAACTTCAGCAGAAGATGCTGAAATTATTTAGTTCATTTGTAAAAACTTCAACACTATATAAGTTGAAGTTTTTGAAAAAGCTTTCTAACATACTAGATAAATAATCAGATTGCCAACAATATTTAAATCATAAATTTTGGAAACAATAAACGTGAAAAGAACAGAATTATCATTGTATACTAACTTACGTACGTAGAAATATCCGCTAATTATTGTCTACTAACTTACGTAATTATTTATAATTTATTTTTAAATAATCTGATAAATATATTTATGACAATCATCCCACGAACTGAAGTTTCATAGCAGCACCAACAACAACAACAACATAAGAAGAAGAAGAAGAAGAAGAAGAAGAAGAAGAAGAAGAAGAAGAAGAAGAAGAAGAAGAAAACGAAGGAGGAGGAGAAAGGGGGCTGAAGTTGTTTAAAAAGTGGGTACAAGTTAAAACATTTAAAAAAAATGGGTATAGGTTAAATTGAGGCGACCAAATAAGACACCCCGTGCAATTTTTACATAAGAAAATACATTTTAAAATATTGGTCAAAATTTATATAATTTGAATTTGAAAAGCAAAAATATTTACATAAACTGAAACGGAGGAAGCAGCTGTTTTTGTTTGAGAAGCTCGCCAACAACCAAAAAAATGTCTTTTCTACACAAAAATACTTTTCATATTTGCTAAACACCACAATTCAAAAAAAAAAGAGTAATTTTTTAAAAAGAATACATTTAAATATATGTCGTTGGTCGAATACATTTAACATTTTAGTGAGGCAGTTAAATGCTTGTCGAATACATACAACTTTTAAAATATAATTATTTAAGAATAATAGCAAACAGGAGATATAAACATATGCTAAAGATGTTAAAAATGTTAAACCTCAACATTATCCCCGACAGTTATGTCAATACCATCATCACATCTCCCTATGAGTTCCTTTCTCTGGTGTAAATATTCATTTTGCTGATTGTGTTGAAGATGGTTAGAAAGCATCTTAAAGTTATCATTGATCAATGTTCTCAGAGACTTGAACTCGCCATAACCTTAACACGACAGAAATAATTAGAAGATTGCGCCAAAAATATATGAATGTTAAGCACTAAACTGTAATGTTTAATATGTGGATAAATACTCACATATTCTTTGAATGAATTTAGGTCTTTCCTCAAAGAAGATACTTCATCATTTTTGAAATCTGCCAGCTGGCTGTGATGCAAAACATTCTGTCCAAATTCGGATACACAAACAAGAGGAAATGGATTGATACTCTGTATTTGAGGGATGCCTTTCGTGTTCCTTGCGCTTTTTATGGGGCGGTGATGAAGATGGACCAACACTTGTAACATGTTTCTTCTTACATTGAAGATCAGGTGTAGAAGAAAAGTCATCCGAATCCTCTCCCGACTTGTCTAAATGAGCAGGAGTAGGACTGTTCTCAACATCAATGACTACGGGAGGAATCTGAACAACGGCAAGCTCTATATCGGTTGGATGGATGTCCTTGTAAACAATCTGAAAAACGAAATACAATTAAAGTCTTACTACAATCATACACATGCAGATCTGGAATCAAACTGTAATTTGTATTGAAATTAAGGCAACACTAATGATTGGGAAATTATATGCAATTGTATGAAGAATTAATAATGAAGGCTACAACAACTGTATACTGCTGCATGCATCTGAATGAAAATGTATGCAATATCTGTATGCAAATGTATGCAGCATTTGTATGCATCTAAATGCAATTGTATACTGCTGTATGCATCTAAATGCAGTATCCTGCATGCAAATGTATGCAACATCTGTATGCATTTGTATGCAAGTGTATACTATTGTATGCACCTGAATGCAAATATATGTAGTATCCTGTATGCAACATCTGTATGCATTTGTATGCAAGTGTATGCAGCATCTGTATGCAACTGTACACTTCTATATGCAAATGTATGCAGAATTAATGATCAATAAAATCTAAACTAGCCACGATACAAATTGTATATTACCATGTTTGCCTTGTCATTGAACATGTCATTCATCAGATAAGCAAAGTTTGGCTGATTTCGGTGGTTCTCCAATTGAGTATTCTGGAGACCATGTTATCAAGTCGGAGTGCAATTTTGGGATCAACATCTGAACAACACTCATAAAACCACACTTGCATAGCTAGGGGCATCCCAGCTATCATGTAATACTTATTCTGAGCATCCATCTTCTTGCTAATCGATTTTGTCAGCATTTCAAATGCTTTTAAACTCCAATGATATTCAGAATAGAGCCCACTCTCTACCAAGTCAAAATGTAGCCTTGGTATGGTTGTGCTGTTCTTCTCGGATGAAAAAATGAAGGTGTGTATGAAATACTACAAACCTATCTTCAAGGCATCACCATCATTGTCGGGACCCCAGTTCTTATCAGCAAAGCATTTCATCAAATGTTTCTTCTTGACAAGATTGGCACCTCCAAAGTAAGTCTCAATAAGCCGGTTAGGAACCTTTTAACTCAACTCAAAATCAACATCATTACCAACACATTTGAGGCTAGTCACAAGCGCAATGTCACGACCCAAAACCCGCTTCGGTCGTGATGGCGCCTCTCGTGAAGACAAGGCCAACCAACAAACCCATATCGCTTTTTCAAAAATAGTTAAACATTAATAAACAGTTTAAATATGATTTAATGATATAATTAACGGAAGCACAACCCGACACAGCCCTAACCGGGGTGTCACAAGTCACAAGCATCTACTAGGGTATAAATACAACTGAAAGCCAGGAGTGTACAAATACAGACTATTGAAATGAGGAGAGAAAAAAGCAGTGCTGCGAACGCCGACAGCTACCTTGCTAAACCCTGATGACTTTGCCTCCGATCAGCCAAAACATACCTGAATCTACACACAAGGTGCAGGGAGTAATGTGAGTACTCCGACTTAGTGAGTAATAATAATAAATAAAGACTGAAGGCAAGAAATCACGCAAAAACACAAGGTATTCCATACTGAAGCAGTAAAATCACTTTAAACAGTAAAGCAGTGAGAAATCAAGTGAAAATCCCTTTTTTCCCAACAAGTAAAGCAAGTAGTTTACAAGTGAGTAACAAAAATGATAGAAATGTAAACAGCCCCTCGGGCAAAACATGTACAACAAACCGCCCCTCGGGCATAATATCAACAGAACCAGCCCCTCGGGCTCAATATCAGAACAGTGCCAGCCCCTCGGGCTCAATATCAGAATCAATAACAGCCCCTCGGGCTAAATATCAGAACAGTAACAGCCCCTCGGGCTCAATATCAGATCAGTAACAGCTCCTCGGGCTCACTCTCAGAATAGTATCAGCCCCTCGGGCTACCTCACAATCACTCATATCAGCCCCTCGGGCATAGTATCAATCACTCAGAACAATGGGTACCCGCGCTCACTGTGGGTGTGCAGACTCCGGAGGGGCCTTTTACGGCCCAAGCGCTATATCAATCCACCTCGTGGCATCATCACTCAGCATATCCTCACATCACTCAAGCCACCATGTGGCATATAAAGTATCTCAGGCCCTCGGCCTCATATCACTCGGCCTCACATCACTCAAGTCACCTCGTGGCATAAATAGTATCTCAGGCCCTTGGCCTCATATCACTCAGCATATCCTCACATATGGCCCTCGGCCTCACTCAGTCCGGAAATGATCTTAAGCCCCTCGGGCATTTGTAAAATAGTAGTTCTCAGCCAAAAATACCATTTAGAAATATCATTTGAGTTTTCAAATATGCATAAAAGCGGTTGAGTTTGTAAAACAATAATTATCAACAGGACTGAGTTTAAATATAAATCAAAACAGTGAGGAAATAGTGAAAAATTTCCAAAGGATTCAACTAATTGGCACGAAGCCCAAGTATGGCAATCAGCCCAAATCATGATGATAACAAATAAGTTTCAATCAAATATGCGGTAAAATCATCAATCGGGATGGACCAAGTCACAATCCCCGGTAGTAAAAGACCCCGTGCTCATCATCCAGCGCGTGTCTCACCTCAATATAGCACTACGTGTGCAAATCCGAGGTTTTAAACCCTCAGGACATCATTTACAATCATTACTCACCTCGAACCGGCTAATCCTCTAG